ATTGTTAAATCTAGTAATTACAAATAGGAAGATGGAAATACACGATAATAAGGTTATTTATTAGCTGTGAGATTTACAAAGAGCGTTTGAAACCGTTAATAAAAACATCTTACTGGGAAAATTAAAATAATATGGAATACGTAACATGTAATTTAAATGGTTTGAGTCATATTTGAGTCATTTTTGAGCAACAGAACTCAAAAAACAAAAGTTAATAACTCAACTTCTGATTCTTTGGGTGTTTCTATTGGAGTACCACAAGGCAGTGTTCTTGGCGGTCTCTTGTTTTTAATATATGTTAATGATATGGCAAAGGTAGTTCAGCGATCTAAACTGGTATTATTTGCAGATTATGCTTTGTTATATGTTTGTTGTGATACTGTTGAGGAGTGTGTTAATATTGTTAACGACGATTTAAATAATCTATGTTGTTGGTTCAAAATGAATAAACTTAAATTAAATATCAATAAAACTAAGTCCGACAGTAAAACTAAGTGTTCAACAGTAATTATGATGTCGACATTTTGATTGATAGCAGTAAAATTGAAATAGTAAATGAGTTTAAGTATCTGGGCATAATTTTAGACGATAAATTAAGTTTTAAGAGCCATAACAACTATATATGTAAAACAATTTCCAAAAAAATATACTTCCTATCAAAAATAAGAAAAAAATTATCACTTTCAAATGCAATAAAAATATACAATGTAATTATTAAACCACATTTTGAGTATTGTTCGTCTGTTATTTTCATGTTTTCGCAAGAACAATTCGATAGACTACAAAAATTGCAAAGTAAGGCCATGAGAATTATCTTGAAGTTGGAAAATACACGTCAATAAACTACATGCTGAGGACGGTAATTTGGTTGACAGTCTATCAAAAAGTAATTGTAAATATATTAATAATAGTTTTCAAAATGAAATATAAGCTGTATCCAACATATTTATGCAACAGATTGGTGTATTCAGGTGATATTCACAATTATAACTTTTTAATTTTCCTAAGAAACCTTTTTAATTTTCGATTGAACTTTTTTAAAAAAGAGAAAAAAAAAAATATGTTAATGTATGAAGGTTTAAATTTATTTAATAATCTACCTCATGATACTAAAATAGAGACTAATTTAAAAATTTTTAAAAGAAAGTTAATACAATATGTAAAAAACAATTTTTAGAATTAAATTATATAATTATAAAAACATGTTTATAAATAATGGTTAATATATACCAAATAAAGAATTAAACTTAAACTTAACTATTGGTTTGTTCTTGACCACTTCATAATACCGTAGTACTGACTCTACGCTGTGCACCCATGACACGTACTGTACTGCGTCACTGTCAAAGGTTTGTAAGTCCCTTACGCAGTCTGGTAGCCTTGATATTTCTTTCAGGTCGCCCTCGTTTTTAGGTACTGCCACATTTCTTGCCGGTTGTCATGGCTTGCTAAGCTGAGCTTCTAGTTTAGTTAAACGAATTTCAAATCTTTGACTTTGTTCTATTTGAGCGTTGACGGCTCCGGTCAGTTTCTTGAGTTCCTCCATTATTTGTTCCATTTTTATGATTTATTACTTATTAAACAGTATTAAATGTTCTTAAAAATTTTATCCAAATTCGGAAATTCGAATTTTAAATTTTAATTTGGTTTTTTATTTGAATTTTTAACTGAATAATTATCCTTCAATGAATTTAGTTTTTGAATTATTATTACAACAAGGAAGTTCCTAATTTTTTGGAACTTATTTAATGAGATGCGTTAATTTCCTTCATTTTTATTTGAATACCATATGAAAAACAACTTACAGAAAAGAATCGTAGTTCATCTCGAGTCCTGGTGACTAATTTTAGTAGCGCTTGAGTTGCTGAATCCTTTCTAGACGTAGACTTTGATACTTGTGAACGTCCTACTACAATACAATCTTCAACACTTTTCCTTTTTAATCTTAGCACGGTTTTCTTCAGTTCCTTTTTTTATATTCCTTCGGATTTCCACAATGCTCGTACTTTTAGTGGGTGAACCATGATTTGCTTCTTAACTTTTTTCGAACTTTCACAATTTTCGCGATTAAACACCTTAGGCGCCAGTTATAAAACTGCGTTCACTCGATTTTAAAAAAAATAAAATTTATTTCACACAATTACAATTATTACTTAAAAAATAGATTATAAATTTAATCGAGATTCTAATTAACAGTTTAATTTATTTCATGCTACTGTTATTAACACCAAATTAAGACTTATCCGATATTTTAAAATCTAACAGTATTTATACTAATTAAAATTAAATTCTTTCCCGGCCTCGTGCAAAATTGTAGACGTTACGTCAGCACTTTTGATTGGAACGATAATTTCATAATTTCTTCATGGTTAAACATGTCCGATTGCAGACTCTGTGCCAGCAATTTACATGTGAACAGAAATTAGTATTGTACTGAAGATGTAATTCGATGCCTCTTGAATATGTTACTTGACACCGTGGTAACTTATATGATATATGATTTCAACGAAAAATAAGTATATATATATTTCAAATTATGCTCACTCCAGTTATCCTAATTTTTTTTTAGTCAAGCATCATATTTCTGCATAAAATTGTTTTTTACTCAAAAAAGAAATGAAAAAAAATTTGTAAATTATTAAAATTAGTAAAAATACTTCAAATCAAAATAAAATTTGAACTTATTTTTACTTTAACTTTTTTGAAAAAAATCCGGCAACCTACTTAGATAAATTTATTTAAGTATATTTTTTTTCATCAAAAGCTCTACACCTTAAAATAAAAAAAATCTGATGTGGTCAGCACATAACCGACCGCATTGTGTATTGTCTAGTTGAGTGAAAATGTTACAGAATATTAAAAAAATGTCTGTGAAGTACTTCTTTCCAATTACAAGGATATATGTAAGCTTATAGTTAACATACCTAGAAAAATGTAAATTTGGTTCTTAGTATAGTTTCGTTTTGTGCTATCCGAATTCCCTGAAATGCCCACCAGTTAGTTTTGGTAATGCCCAGAACTCAAATATCAAATTTCATGAAGTTTCATCAATTTGTTCTGTAGATATGGTGAAAAATGTAAAATCGGTCCGCAAATCAGTTTTCGAGCCCTGATGTTTCCAAAAAATTTATATGCTCATTGTTTTAATACGAGGGATTTATATATTAAATTTCAATGAAATCGGTTGATTATTTCTCTTTTTATACACAAAAATATATATTTTCCCGTAGTAAACGTCTAGTTGCCGATGCCTGATTTCTTCCAAAACATAGGAATTTTTGCCGACGATCGAGCAAAGCTTATATATGAAATTTCAAGTAAATCGGTTGAATACTTTCTTCAAAATGTTCAAAAATGTAAAACAGGCCCGCTAAAAAGTGCAGTTCCCGGGGCCTGATATATCCCAAAAGTTGATCAATCCGTGCCATGGTGGAAATAAACTTACATATAAAATTTCAACAATATCGGTTCAGCCGAACTTGAGATACACGCGTGCACGCACAGACAGGTTGCTAAAAATAGTTTACTTACACTTCCCTACTATGGAGAAGTGCATTCCCACCAAAAACTCGATATGCAAAATTTCTTGCCATCACATAACCTACCTATTGTTTACACAATACGGTCGGTAAAAATTGTAGTTCACATTTTTCGTTGCATTTATAGCATACAGTAAGAGTATTAATTTAAAATAAATAACTAAAAAGTTGACTCATTGCTGGTCATGGATCTAATCAACGATTAATCCGCTTGCATTCGCTTGCAAAACCAGAAGAAAGAAAAGAAAAGAAAAAAAGAAATCAGTGAAGCCAAAAACTCTAGGTAAGTCTCTTTCTTTGATCTAGTCATTGCCAAATTAAAATTTTTATTTATTGTATAAAAAGTATCAAAGAAAGTTTCATGATTTAAATTTTAAAATTAGTGGAGTTTGTAAATGAAAAATTATAAAATATTTAATAAAAACTATTAAAAAAAGAGTATTACTTTTAAAAATTTATAAAAATAATATACTTAAAAAAATAATAAATCATAGAAAAAGAAAAAGATGCATAGTTTCGAATTGTTATTCCCATTTAAAAAAAACAAATGGATGTTTTCCACCATATGCATTTAATATTATTTTTTTTTAGTAAATAAAATATTTGTTCAATAGTGTTTTAGTTAATTCAATTTCAATTCCAATTAAAGACCTTAATTATTTCAGATAACTTTACAAAATATAAAATTATATATAAGAAATTAAATTATTTATAATTCACATTTTTTTTTTGTTTTCATTTTTAAGACTATAAATAATTTAAACTAACAATCCATTTTATTTTTTCTAAATAAGTAATATATAAATCAATTCTAATTTCTAAAATTTTTTACATGCTGTTTCAGCTTACATTTAAAAATATCCAATTTTTTACTTTTTTTAATGCTTGTAGGAAGACTGTTAAACAAATTTATTGCACTACATTTTAAACTATTTTGTTTTTTCGTTGTCCTAGTTCTAGGTATATTTAAGTTTCTCCTATTTCTAGTATAATAATTATGAATATTTTCATAATTATAGCAATTCATAACTCGTAGACTTGTTAAGTTTTTAATTTTGCGAATAGAACATTTGTTTTTGTTTTGTTTTACACTAAAACCACTTCGGATGATATTATTTTACCATGAGCGGATTTTTTTTCTAAGAAAAATTAGTTTGTATTTAATAAAATATTTTTGTTTTCAATATACAACTTTTGAGGAAGTGCAAGCACGATAAAAACCAAGGTGCTCCGTCCTTCAATATTTCTAATTCGTTGGTACTAACCAACAGAACTAAATTTGTTTTTAGTTTTGTTTCATAGATAAGTTTTTCTCTTTTAATTTAAAATTTCATAAATAAAACTCTCTTAAATTCTCTTTTATTTAAAACAAGTTTAAATAAATAAAACTTTTATAAAATTGAAAATATGTATTATATCAAATGCTCTTTATCCTAAAATAAGTTTTACTTTTTATCGCAGGTAATCGTAAAAACCACAACTAAATTTGCATATCCAAAGCGTGGTGTTTTATTACATTATTCAGGTACGTAAATTAAATATTGTATATTATATACGTAAATTAAATATTAGTATTATGTATAAGTAGTCCTATTGTGTTCTATTACAAAGATTGTCTTCTGTATACCACTACAAACTATATTCACAATGCTAATTTAATAAACTGGCGTTAGAATATATCTCTCACTTTTTCTCTAATGGAATTTTCTATCTATACTTTTCCGTTTAACCGGAGCTTTTGTCTATCCTATTCTCATATAAACTAAAAAAAACTTTCCTTGTTTCAAAGCAAAGTATATACATATATTTATTTCCCTGCCCAAATACAAAAGTCGTCCTGCAAAGACAATTTCTTTAAAACAAATTCTTTTGAGCTGCCGAATTCGATAGCATTTGCGACATTCTACAAAGTATGGTGAATGGATTTATCCTCACTCATACATTATAAGTTCATAAATTGAATTTTGTTTTATTTGTTTTTAATGATTTAGCGATTTATAGTTTTGATGGATTCTAACAAATTTTCTGTTCTAAAATTTATATGTAAATATAACCAAATACATTAAAAATATATTATAATGTCTTAGATATAACGTAACTCAATAATTTAATATTCATATATAAAATAATTTAATGTTTTAGATTAGAAGGAAACGATATTTGTTTTTGCGATGTAATGCGCCTCTAGCTTATAGCTAAATATAACGATATGGCAAAGTCTTAAAATCAAATTCTCTTCCATTATGTACATACATATGTACATGTATATACATAATTATTTTTCAAAAAAAGGTTGTATGCATTTATACACATAAGTTTCTCTAATGTAGAATTCTTTTTTCTTAAGGTTCTGGTACACAGACAATTCATAGGAAAAATCATAAGCAATTAAAATCTTTTAGTTTTTGTTAGAACTATCTATAGAAACTACAAAAATTCTGTAAGAATTTTTATGTACGTATATATGGTCATGTATGAGTACATATACATAAAATACAAAAGCATATAGATGAACATACATATATGCTTTTATATTTTATCCAAAACGTTAAATTAAAAGAAATAATTTTCTTATCATTTCTTATCATTCTTATTTTTAAAAGTAATTAAAAGTGATTTTTTTTTGTTTCAAAACAATTTTTCCTTTCATTTTGCATAAAATAAATATTTTAAAAAAAATTGTGAAAAAGTTATTGCTAAAACTAATATCTGTAGTTAGTATAAAATAATTAAATTACGAATAAAAAATTAATAATAATTAACGTAAACAGAAGCAGAAAATAAACCCCCTTTTTAGCACAAAGGAACTTTATTTCAAAAATTTTTATTTAAAGCAACTTTACTTCAAAATTTTTTGAAATAAAGTGCGTATCACTTTCACGCTGTCTGTCCGTCGATAGAAAGCTGAAATTTAATATGTACATATATCTTTACTAGAATTTTATTTCCGTAGAAGAAAATTTTTACCTATCCCCCCCTCTAGAAGTTATACACCCCAGAACCATAAAATTGTTATTTTTTTACTATTTATTGCAGTGAAATCATAAGCATTTTTCAAATTTTGCAAACGGCCATCTCCATCCCCTCTCAAGTTATCGCCTCTTGAAATTTGTAAAATTTGAATTTTTGATGCCTCATATTTCCGAAACCGCAAGCTTTTTCGAATTCCTATAAACGCAAAAAGCTAACGGTAAATTCCATGACGTTAAAAAATATAATTATTTTTTATATTAAATAACTCACTCAATTAACCCTTACAATCGAGTATTATGAAATTAATTTTTGCCCTCTTGAAATTAATTTTTGCTTTATTTAAAAGACTGTATAAATCGTTCATCCTAAATATATGCAATCTTAGAAATAGTTTCGCATATGAATGAAAATAATTTTAATAGTGTGATAGGTATAAATAGACTGTATTAAAAAGCAATATTTTCACTTGTTGAAGGGCAAAGTGCTACAATTATTTCTATCGATACACGATATGTTATCCAAAAAATTATTGTACTGATAATCCCCTTTATCATCAAAAATATTTCATTCTGCTAAACTATAGCTAAAACTTGTCAGTATCGTTTTATTACAATTTTTCAAACAATTACAAATATTTTGTTTTAATTACTATTTACGTTTTCCGTTTTAAAATAGTCAAACTGAAATATTATATAATGTAAACTTAATAAAAAGAAAATTGTAAAAATAAATCCGTTGACACTCACAAATTTGTATAAGATTATTTACTTTTTTGTATCGAGTTTTTTACAAAAGTATTTGAAAATTTTAATAATTTCAGTTTTTACAGTAAAACAAAAATATTCTTAAAAAAAAAAGAATATTATTATATCACGAAATATTCTTTAAGATTTAAAAAGTTTTTAAAATACTAAATTTTACTTTATAAAACTTGAAAAAACTTTAGACATTAAGACAATTAAAATGTCATCATATTATAAAGCTTTTATGAAAATGTTTAGCAAGTTTTATAAAGTTTTTAAAAACCTTCTTATACCAAGCAGACCTAATATTTAATCAATAGCGTTAAGTTTATTTTTTCATAAATTTATTAAAACTTTAATTTTGAAAAGAAAACATTTGTCTCGGTTTTGTTTTAAACTAAAATTACTTCGGGTGATATAATCACACCAAGAACGACTTTTATTTTTATATTTTTTTTAGAATGTTGGACTGTAAATATAATTTTTCTAGAAATTATGATATGAACAGAGAGTGAATTGCAATTGTTTAGTAAAAAAGTTTTCATTCCAAATATTTTATCAAACAGTACTGCCTTCATAATATTTTGGTTCATAATACAAAAAGAAATTATGAGGTTAAATTTATTTATTAGATGCTTTACATAATTTGCGCGTAACAAACATTTTTACCGACCGTATTGTGTAAACAATAGGTAGGTTATGTGATGGCAACAAATTTTGCATATCGAGTTTTCGGTGGGAATGCACTTCTCCATAGTAGGGAAGTGTAAGTAAACTATTTTTAGCAACCTGTCTGTGCGTGCACGCGTGTATCTCAAGTTTGGCTGAACCGATATTGTTGAAATTTTATATGTAAGTTTGTTTCCACCATGGCACGGATCGATCAACTTTTGGTATATATCAGGCCTCGGGAACTGCACTTTTTAGCGGGCCTGTTTTACGTTTTTGAACATTTTGAAGAAAATATTCAACCGATTTACTTATTTACTTGAAATTTTATATATAAGCTCAGCTCGACCGTCCGTAAAAATTCGTATGTTTTGGAAGAAATCAGGCATCGGCAACTGGGCGTTTACTACGGGCCAAATATACATTTTTGTGTATATAAAGAGAAATAATCAACCGATTTCATTGAAATTTAATATATGAATTCCTCGTATTAAAACCATGAGCATGTAAATTTTTTGGAAAGATCAGGCATCGGCAACTAGACGTTTACTACGGGCCAAACATACACTTTTGCGTATATAAAGAGAAATAATCAACCGATTTCATTGAAATTTAATATATGAATTCCTCGTATTAAAACAATGAACATATAAATTTTTTGGAAAGATCAGGGCTCGAAAACGGATTTGCGGGCCGATTTTACATTTTTCACCATTTTGAAGAAAGTATTCAACCGATTTACTTGAAGTTTCATATATAAGCTTTGCTCGATCATACGCAAAAATTCCTAATTTTTGGAAGAAATCAGGCATCAGCAACTGGGCGTTTACTACGGGCCAAATATACATTTTTGTGTATATAAAGAGAAATAATCAACCGGTTTCATTGAAATTTAATATATGAATTCCTCGTATTAAAACCATGAACATGTAAATTTTTTGGAAAGATCAGGCATCGGCAACTAGACGTTTACTACGGGCCAAAGATACACTTTTGCGTATATAAAGAGAAATAATCAACCGATTTCATTGAAATTTAATATATGAATTCCTCATATTAAAGCAATGAACATATAACTTTTTTGGAAAGATCAGGGCTCGAGAACTGATTTGCGGGCCGATTTTACATTTTTCACCATATCCACAGAACAAATTGATGGAATTTCTTGAAATTTGATATTTGAGTTCTGGTTGTTACCAAAACTAACTGGCGAGCATTTCAGGGAATTCGGGTAGCACAAAGCGAAACTCTACTAAGAGCCAAATTTACATTTTTCTATGTATGTCAACTATAAGCTTACTAATGTCCTAAAAATTGGAAAGAAGTATTTAACAGACATTTTTATAATATTCTGTAACACTTTCATTTAACTAGACAATACACAATGCGGTCGGTTATGTGCTGACCACATCAGATTTTTTTAAATGCGAATTTGGTCATCAAAAAAATATGTGAAGATATATGATGTCGTTGAATGCGGCAAGTAAAATAACATATTCATGTGAATTATTTATAAAAATTAATTAGTATTTGAAGGTCAATTAATTAACGAGGAAGAAAATTACAACATGCCATCTTATATATATTTTTTTTATTGTTAATGTTGATTAGAGTTGTGCTGTAAAATTTAACAATTTAGAGATAAAGCTGATAATATTTGAGTATTTTTACTAAAAAATTTGATTTTCAAATGTATTGTGACGTCAAAATATACACGTATTTATTTATACATAATATATATTAATTTCAATTTACAAAATAAATTTATGCTAAGGGAAAATAGTTAGTGCGTTTTGTTTAAATTTGATTTTTTACAGATACATATTTCAAATAAATATACATTTTAAAATATTTTTAATTTTTACTTTAAAAAAACTTGAACTTATCTTTCTTACATTATACATATGTATGTATTACTCATATTTTTTAATGAAGGCCAGATAAAATAAACAAATTAAATACGCTCTTTGACCATGTTTGGAACAGTGAAGTAGACAACTAGAAAGATTTTGGCTTCAATGTTTTCCAAGACGCTCCCTCCTTTACTATTTCTAAATTACTGTTTAATCCTTTAACCCAAAACCTCCGCAACACTAAATTCTATCTAATACGAGCAATCCTCACGTCATTTTGAAGAAATTTGCATCTATAACGAAATTAATAAAAAAAAAGCTGTTTTTTATGCGAAATTTTCTCAAAACTAAATAATGTTAATGTAAATAAAATAAGTACTGATTTTTGAATCAGTAAGTGATAATGATCAGTATAGTAAAAAGATTGATAATATT